GCTATGAGTCGGAAACGACTCAACGGCACATAACAATAATACCCATTTTGTTCAATAACATAAGCTTCCATGTGACAACTCCCCATGGAATCTCATATTTCCCACTCATGATATTTCTGATTCCCTTCATCTTTTTATACCCTTCTTTGTCATCTCTTGTTTGCAGATATTGTGCTGATAATACCTTAATTAGGGAGCTCTGGTGGCCTAGTGGTAAGAAACTGCACTGCAATCCTAAAGGCACGAGGTTTGAATCCACCAGCTGAGAAGGATGGTCAATCTCCTCCTGTGCGATTTACTGTCCCTGAAAACCCGCTGGAGGGTCAGCTGTGGGTTGGTTCTGATTCAAAGTCATGGAGCAGCAGCAGCAACAGCAGCAATCTCTTAATATTATATTGACTCTCCCTCCCCCTATCTCAATAAGCCTCTGTTATCTATTTTACTAATTTCTCTTCTATCTCCCTCCTTTCCCATCGCTGGTATCCAGCCAAGAATGATTTAACCCCTATGTAAATCTTGCCTTAGCTTTTATGATAACAGTCTTATACTATAACAGGCCTGATTTATGTTACTCAGAATAATTTGTTCTAAATTAATTCATGTTGTGCAATTTCTCACGAGTTCCTTTTTTTTTTTTCTTGTTATGTGCCGTGGGGTCAGATCCGACAGGCAGAAGAGGCGACTGCCCATCTTTCTTGAGCAGAGCATCTGATGGATTCAAACTGTGTGCCTTCAGGATTGCAGGGCAGCTTCTTGCCACTAGGCCACCAGAGCTCTCTCTTGCTCGTTTTTGAGTGATACATAATACTCTGTTGTGTGACTCTACCATACTTTCTTTGGTTATTCTTCCATTGATGATTACTTGGGTTGTTTCTAACTTTTTGCTATTGTAAACAATGAATACACACAGTTGTATGTGTGTTAGCTTGTGCCATAGCTCTCATTCTTTTGGGATATATACCTCGTGGTAGGGTCACTGGCATTTGACTGTGAGGATCGTAATAAATTATGGCTAGTATTGACAAGAATGAAAATTCCAGAGCACATAATTGTGCTCATTTCAAAGCTATAGATAGAACAAGAAGCAGTTGTCCAAACAGAACACATGCATGGGTTGGAATCAGGAAAGACAGGTATCCTTTCTCCACATTTATTCAGTTTGTATGCTGAGTAGATAATTCAAGAAGCTGGACTCTATGAAGAATGAAGGGGCACCAGGTTTGGAAGAAGACTCACCAACAACCTGCATTATGCAGATGACACACTCTGCTTGCAGAAAGTGAAGAAGACTTGATGTACTTACCACATAAGATGAAAGACTCCAGTTTTCAGTATGTATTACATCACAACATCAAGAAAACTTACAAAACAACTATGAGATATCATCTACCCCAGTAAGAATAGCAAAATTTAAGAGAACAGCAAGCAACAAATGCTGGCGAGGTTGCAGAGAAACTGGAACCCTTATTCACTGTTGGTGGAAGTGTAAAATGGTGCAACCACTGTGGAAGGTGGTATGGCGCTTTCTCAAAAAGTTGCAAATAGAGATACCATTTGACCCAGCAATTCCACTACTGGGAATATACCCCCAAGAGACCATAACTGACATCCAAGCAGATATATGCACACCGACATTTATTGCAGCTTTGTCTGCAGTAGCAAGGAGTTGGAAACAACCCAAATGCCCATCAACAAAGGAATGGATAGAGAAGCTGTGGTATATTCACACAATGAAATACTACACTGCATTGAAAAACAAGGAAATCATGTAATATTATTCAAAATGGGTGACCCTGGAGGACATTATGCTGAGTGAAGTATCTCAGTAACAAAAGGACAAATACTGCATGGTTCCACTGTTGTAAAACAGAACTGATATCAGTGTTGGTGGGGGGAGACTGAGAAAGATGGGTTCAATAATGTATATTTCATTGAAACAGATGAAGGAGAAAACCATTTAAAGGGATATATGATTAGATATTTTTGTCATGATGGGAGTCCAGAGTGAAGGCTGCATAGGGGAATGGACCTGGGGGGAGGGATTGTAAAGCAATGAAAGAATTTTTCTTTTACTTTTACAAGAGTGTACTGGGAGTGTACTTGGGGGGAGGGTTGAGAGAGGAGAAAAGTACAACAATGAATGAATGGAAATCCAAAGTCTCTGTAAATTTTCATTGAAATTAATAATAAAATTTTTTTAAAGAAAACTTAAATCCCCCTACTGATTTAACAGGCAACATCACTGATGGAGCATGGTGAAGAGCGTGTGGAGGGCTCAAAAGAGACAGAGCGAGGACCAAACGGACACTATGTGTTGAAGTGGACTCAATGGTATCAAATAACAACAGCATAGAAGAATCCTGCTCAAAAGGGGATTACAGTGCAGAACAGAAGGACTACAGTGATCTAAGTCAAACTAGCTGAAACACCACGTGGTCCTGTAGCTGCCTCATGCCTGGTGAAGCCCACTGTGCTCGCTGCCAGCTGCTACAAGGACTAGCTGGACAGCAGAGATGTAGCTAGAATGCAGCTCTAACACTGCAGGAGTGCACACCACTGTCTGAGGAGGCTGGAGGCGAGTGCCGGCTTTCAGTGATGTGTCTGCTTGGACTCGCCGAGCCAGTTACCCGGTTCCTGTCCTGATTGGATGTCTGCTTGCAGTGACTGAAAATGGCCAGCCTATGCCTGGCGTGCTGGCAATTCTCCATTCCATCTCCACGCTCCACATGCCATAAGCAGTGCACGGGATCAAGTTTTAACTGCAAACAGTTTCCGTTCTTCCTTTCTAATGTGGACTATTTATAGCCCTTCCTTGTCAACAGTGCACTTTTTAGCATTTCCAGTACAATATTAAACCAAGGCGGTGACAACAGGCAGTCTGGGCTCATTCCCTTTCTGAAGACTCTTTCTCCATTGAGAATAAGATTGGTTGTTAGTTAGTAATTGACCCTTGAATTTGACTGTATAAAGGTTTTCTTTTAGAGTGAGCACTTAAGTCTAAGTGAATATTTAAAACACATTTTTTATAATTTTGCTTAAAAATTTTGTACTTTTTTTTTTTTGCTATGCACCAGATAGTTAGGAAACTACCACCAGAAAATTTTAAAACTGTATGCTACTATCTGTACAATTTGGCACCATTTTAATGTAGTAAAAACACCACAAAGATGAACATGAGCTTTAAAGCGGTCAAGGAACGTCCACCACACACCTCACCCTGCCACCAAGCTCCCATGGCTCCCCGGTGACCTCTGTCAGGCATTTCAAATTTTGTATAATTTGGCCACGCCTATCCAGTCTAGAGACTAAGGTGTGTCTGATCCAGGCCTTGGTCTTTGCAATTACTTGCTATGCATCACAGAGCTGGATAAAGACTATGGGTGACAGAAAAAGAATTTATGCTTTTGAGTTGGGTGGGGTGCTAGAGAAGAATCTTGAACATATGAACCATCAAGAAAACAAATAGGTCCATCTTGGAGAGGGTGAAAGCAAATTTTTCCTTGGAGGTAAGGATTTTGAAGCTCCGTCTCACATACTTTGGGCACATGACCAATCTTTGGACCAGTCTTTGGAGAAAGACATCATGCTTGGAAGGGTGGTGGGACAGTGCAGGAGGGGAAGAGGCCGGATGAGATGGACAGAGGCAGTGAGGGAAGGTGTGTCAGTCAGTGAGACTGGCTCAGGAGAGGACCGCTGCAGAGCTGTTGTACGGACATAGGGTTGCCGTGAGGCACAGGCAACTCCACGGCATGTTAACAACAAGCACAAAAACAACAACGCAGTCTCACTCACATTCCACTGTACTGTTAGTATACTGTTGGTAGATGTCATGGAATCGAGTACAACTCATCGCGACCCTGTGAACGACAGATCTGACCCCCGGCCTATCCCGTGCCGTCCCAGCCCTCTCTGGCACACCTGTGCCCGTTGATGTGTCAGTCCACCCGGCTGAGGGTCTCCCTGTCTTTGGCAGATCGGATCATTCATTAGTGTACTCGGCCACAAAAACAACAGGAATAGGGCTATATTCCTCTTTGTAGAAAGCCTGTCTAGTGCAAAGCCTAGTGTAGCATGCTTTGTCAGAGAAACTTAATCTGCACAATAGCCTTGTCCTAGAAAACGGCTTGCTGAGTTTGGAGAACTCAAGAGAGCAGCCTGAATTCCCCTGCCTGGACACAGACTCAGGTCTTTCTAATTGCAAAGCCTGGGACAAATCAGCACTCTCCTGGTCCCCCCACCTCCACCCCCTGGACAGCCCTAAACCTTACCAAAAGACCAAGTCCCCTGTAAGCTCTTCCAGAACAAACCTCACCTCCACTCAGTGTTTTCCAAAGTTATGCTCTTGGACTCACATCAAATGCCCTCTGCTCTGTTAGCGTTCGCGGTGGTGTCTGACTCCTTATCTAGGCCTCTCCAAGACCTGCCGCCCTGGGAGGCCTTTACACACACACACACACACACACCTTTGCCAGCACTTGAGCTGATGGCGATGGAGGAAGCAGAGGAGGAGACAGGGTGGCAGTAACCAGAGAATGGGAGCGAGTGTGCATCTGTGTTAGGGTTCCAGCCAGTGAGTCGTGAGGCCCAGGAGGAAATATCTCTTCAGGGTTCAGCAGCAGAATTGTTGCTGCCACGTCTGGGTGATACTGGACACAGAGGAAGTAGCAGACTGGAAGTCAATGCCCCCTACCTGGGGCTGGTGGGTGGCATTTTAATGACTGGTTTGTAACAGCAGCAGGAGGATGTAGAGGCAGCGGTTTGCCCAGCCCGTGGTGGAGGGGGCCTGGTCTCTTACACAGCTGTCCTGTCCCTCCTCAGCAGGCTTCCACTTGACAGAGGCCAGGAAAGTGCGGATCTCCATGGGCTGCAGCGTGATGGCAGCGGAATCCAGGGAGGAGGAGGAGGAGGAGGAGGAGGGAGAGTGGTGGGCGGGGCCTGTGGGCGCAGGGGAAGACGACGTGTGAAGGTAGTGGTAAGAAGCCTCTGCCTTTGCCCCTCCCCAAGCCTGGACTCGATCTTGGACTCTCAGGACCTCTTTGCATCTCTGTGACCCCAGAACCTGCATCTGTGCTCCTGAGCCTGGCAGGAAAAACCACCTGCCCCTACAGGTAGGATGTGGCCCTCAGGTCCTTGACCCTCGTGCCTCTCCTCTGAGCATCTTCACTTCCTGTGGACCTTCACACCCCTCCCATGCATGGGCCTCACCCATGTTTGTTTTCCACTGGAGCCTGGAGGACCCAGCTCGGGGTTTGTTGGCCGCCAGCGTGGTCTCCTCCAGGCAAGTGATGGTGAAGGTGGAGAACAGGTCCTGCGGGCAGTGGATGGGCCAGCTGAGCGTGGACAGAGTGGATTTTTAGCCTCAACTTTTCTTCTCACCTGTGTTCTGCTCACCTTCAAGTTCAAGGTCACAGGGGAGCTCAAGTTGCCCTCGCTGGCGGCAAACTGGTGCTCCAGACGCAATAGGACCTTCTCCTTGCTCCAGGAGGCCAGCGTGAGCAGGCGCACGGAGGGAGGCAGCTCCCTGCAGAGACCTGAGAACTGGGGCAAGGACAACGCGGGTTGGGGGGGGGAGAGTGAGGAGGTGGTGTCATCCTGGAGGGGCGGGGTCATCAAAGGAAGGATGGGGCGTTGGTACAAAACAGCTTTGGTGGGGTGGTGCACAGCCTGTGACGTGACACTGCTAACCAAAAGGTGTGTGGTTCAAATCCACCTGCTGTTCCACGGTAGAACAATGAACAGTCTTCTCACCTGAAGATTTTTTTTATTTTTAAGTTTAAGAAAACAAGTGAAAAAGGTGTTTTTTTTTAAAAAAATTAATTTTATTTTATTATTTTGTGTGTGTGTACCGTCAAATCGGATCTGACCGGTACAGGAGGAGATTGCCCCTCCTTCTCCAGCAGAGCATCTGGTGGATTCTAACCACACACCTCTGGGATTGCAGTGCAGCTTCTTGCCACTAGGCCACCAGAGCTCCCTAGGTGTTTGTTTTTTTAATTAAAAAATTTATTAAATAAAAATTTTATTCCTAGGTGCTTGCAAAAAATGTATTTGTTTCATAGTGGGTCTATATAAGAATGTTTATAAATGTGATTGATGTAGTTCAGAAAAAGGTTTATTAAAGTAATGCAAAGGAGGCATGGGTGGTGAAAGATAGATAGGCTGTGCGAAAGAGTTAAAGAGAAAAGTAAAGAGGGGGAGAAACAGCCCTGGAAAGTTGGGGGAGGGGTCCCCAAACTTTATGGCATGCTGCCAGGAAGAGAGTCACCTAAAGATTGACAGCCTCGGATACCCAACAGAGGGTCACCAAGAGCCAGGATGGACGAGGAGACAGTGGGTTTGGTTTAGTGCAGATGAAGAACGAGCCGGAGATGGGCAGGTGTGGAATCAAAGGTTTATTGTTCAAAATGTCTTTCTCAGCTACTGGCTGTTTATTTGGTGCTGAAGTAGTTATAGTAGTGGCATCCACTTCCTAAACAACATGCCTCCGGAAACTCTGTGAACTTTGATAAATGTCAATAGTAGTACAGGCATCAACAGCAGCAGCAACAACAAGGAGATAGGATTAGGGTGGGATACAAGCTTCATCCTTCAGTTGTTGTTAAGTGTCGTTGGGTCGAGTATGACTCGTAGGGACCCTATGAACAAAAGATCTGAACCCTGTTCTATCCTGTGCCATCCTCACTTCCTGACACAAGAGAGTCCACGGCAGCAGTCACCGTGTCAATCCACCTAGTTGAGGGCCTTCCTCTCCTTTACCGACCCTCAACCCTTCCCAGAATCATGTCCTCCAAGGAATAAAAAGTCCCTCCTAGCAATGTGCCCAAAGTACGTGAGGCGAAGCCTCATCATTCTTGCCTCCAAAGAGCACTCCGCTGCACCCTCTCCAAGACGTATCTGTTCATTCTCTTGGCCGTCCATGGGATGTTCAGGGCTCTTCTCCAACACCACAGCTCAATGGTGTCAATTCTTTTTCTGTCATCCTTACGAATTTTGTTAACAATCATTTCTGCCTCCCTGCCCTACTAGGATGTTTATAGACCCATGAGAACGAAATGCTAGCTCTCTTCTTGGGAAGCCTGCTTTCCAGCCTCTCTGCCAGTGATAGTCTACAGTCTCACCAGTCCCTGCCAAACTGGCCTGTATAACCTACAGTTGCGTGAGTCTGAGTCTCTGGGAGACCTTCCAGCAAACTAACGAGCCCAAGAGACACAGAGGAGCGGGGATTCACGTGAAGGAGGGACTCTTGAGGCTTGAAATCATGGAGTCATACAGCAAACCAAACACGGGTGACACTGCTGACATTGCACTTTTTGTAAGTGGCCAGCTACTAATCTGAGCAGAATGAGTTATGAATACAACAGGGTTGAACTAGGTGCAGTGATACTAACTAGGATGTGTGCTCAAGATCAGAACTTAGGTGGTACAGAGTCCAGGTAGGGTGTCTTATTTGGAGGCAGGGAAAGTGGCACTAAGTGCAAACTCGCTAAAGTTGAAACTCAAAAGACATTGGAGGTCAGAGACAAGACTGAGCTGGATGGAACCTTGTGGAAGCCAAGGATGAAGGGGTGGACTGAGCTTCTGAACAGGCCAGGCATGTTCTGGGCGAGAGGGAGAGTGTGTGCATAGGGAATGGTGGGAGTGGGGCTGAGTCCAGAGTGGACAGGGTGGAGCTCAGGACGAATCAGGCTAAGCCTCAGTGGCATCCAGGGGCCAGTGGTGTTGAGTTAACAAATGGTCTGTGTGTCTGGTTCCCTAGGACACGAATTACATGATGAAAACGCAAGGCCAGGCTGTATTGGGCCTTAGGGCAGGTAGAGAAAGGCTAGTTAGGAACTGGACAGACTGTATTTCGTGCTCCTCCCACCCCTGTGCTTAATCTCAACGGAAAAGTGGACCTCTCTTCAGCCCTTTCACAGATCTATCTGCCCCATCGTTTCTGTGCCCATGCCCCCTTCTCTTCCCTCTCTATTCTCTTACCGTTCTGTGAGGGATCCTTTCGTGGTTCCATGTGGTGTCACTGCCAGGGGCCAACATTAACTGTGGGGCCAGGACCTCCTTCTCTGCCAGCAGCCTGTGACCAGCGGCCGCGGTCTGGGTCTTGTCCAGGAGCACAAGGTGTCGGCCTTGCACCCACAGACCTTTCCCGAAATCGTTGGTCTCCAGCAGCGGTTCATTCACACCGTTTTGGTCATCGAAAAGCAGCCTCCGGTGCACCTGGTGGAAGATGAGTAGAGGAAGAGGTGAGAGTCCGGAGAGGGGGTAACTAGGTTGTCTCATGGGGGTTCCTGGGTGAAGCACTGGGGCGAGGTTAGGGAGAAGAAGAGATGAGTGAGAGACATCAGGGAACTGGGCATAAAAATGTCTAGAAAGACCCATCAACAGACAAATGGACAGAGAAGCTGTGGTATATTCACACAATGGAATACTATGCTGTGTTGAAAAACAAGGAACTCATGCAATACTATTCAAAATGGGTGACCCTGGAGGACATTATGCTGAGTGAAGTATCTCAGTCACAAAAGGATGAATATTGCATGGTGCCACTGTTGTAAAACAGGACTGACATTGGTGTTGGGGGGAGACTGAGATAGAAGGAATAATTAATGTATACTGCATTGAAATGGATGAAGGAGAAAACTGTTTAAAAGGGTTATGTGATTAGGTATTTTTGTCATGACAGGAGTCCAGAACGAAGGCTGCATAGTGGAGTGGACCTGGTGGGAGGGATTGTAAAACAATGAAGGAATTTGTTTTACTTTTCTAAGAGAGTAATGTACTAGGGGGGAGGGTTGGGAGGGGAGAAAAGTGAAACAATGAATGAATGGAAACACAAAGTCTGTAAATTTTCATTGAAATTAATAATTTTTTTAAAAATGCAAAAAAGATGATTTATATGCAGTAAATATATTTAGAACATCTAAAAAATATCCAGAAAGAAATAGGAGTTCTAATAAAGGGGGAGCTCTGGTGGCCTAGCGGTAAGGAGTTGCACTGCAAACCCGGAAACAGGTGGTTAGAATCGACCACTCCACGGTAGAAAAATGGACAAAATCCTTCTGAGCAATTCACTACCTCTGAAAGCCCACTAGAGGGCAACTGTGAGCCGGCCCTGACTTGTCTGCCCATAACCACCACCACCACCACCACCATAAAGGAATTAGAATCATATTGACTACATCTGTAGAAAGAATCACTGGAGAAGCCCAGTATCAGCGATGAAAACCAGGCCGGGCGCTGACTGTAGAACAGACCGTTAGCTACTCACATGCAACTCAAATTGAAGCTAAAGAAAATGAAAACAAACCCACAAGAACAAAAATACAACCTTGAGTCTATTCCACTTGAATTGAAAAAAACCATCTCAAGAACAGGTTTGAGGCATTAGACACTAATGAATGAAGACCAAATGAACTATGGGATGATATCATCCGTGAAGAAAGCAAAAGGTCATTACAAAGACGGAGGAGGAAGAAAATACCAAAATGGATGTCAGAGTAAATAAACTCCGAGTGTTGCATTAGAACATTGAAAAGTAAAAATCAAAGGGAAGAAATGAAGTCAGAGTTGAACAGAAGATGTCAAAGAATATTTCATGATGACCAAGCAAAATATTATAACAAAATGTGAAAAGTTAGTTAGAAAATCAAAAGGGAAGAAATCGTTTAGCATTTCTCAAGCTGAAGGAACCAAAGAACAAATGAAAATCTCGAGTTGCAATTCTTAAATATTGAATATTGAATGATCTAGAAATCATTGAAAGAAGTTGGAAGGAACACACAGAGTCACAGTACCAAAAAGAATTGACTGACACAGAACCTATGAATAAGAACTAATGGTAATAAAGGAGGAACTTCAAGCAGCTCTGAAGAAACTAACAAAAAAGAAATCCCCAGGAATTGATGAAATAACAAATTGACATATTTCAACAAAAGATGTGTTCAACAGGCTGTGTCAAGAAATCTGGAGGACAGCTGCCTGGCCAATTGCCTGAAAAAGATCCATATTTATTCTCATTCATAAAAAAGGTGATACAACAGAGTGTGAAAATTATTGAACAATATCACACACAAGCAAAATCTTGTTGAAGATTTAAAAAAAAACAAACAAAAACAACCAACCTCCAAAACCCTGACTGGAATAGTACATCAGCAAAGAGCTATCAGAAGCACAAGCAGGGTTTAGAAGAGGTGGTGGCACTAGGGATATCGCCAATGTCAGGCAGGGTTTGGCTGAAAACAGAGAGCATCAGAAGGATATATATTTGTGTTTTATTGACTGTACAAAGGCTTCTGACTGTGTGGATCACATCAAATTGTGGCTAGCCTTGAGAAGAACAGGAATCTCATAGCACTTGATTGTGCTCATTTGAAATTTATATTAGACTAGGAAGCTGTTGTCCGAACAGAGCTAGAGAACACTGCATGGTTCGAAATAAAGAAAGGAATGTGTCAGGGATGTATCCTTTCTCCATACCTTGTCAATCTATATGATGAACAGATAATTTGAGAGGTTGGACTTTATGAGGAGGAATGTGACATTGGGTTGTAGGAAAATTCATCAGCAACTTGCATTACGCAGACACCAACCTTGTTTATAAAAACTGAAGAGGACTAAAAGCTTTTGCTGCAGAAGGTCAAAGGCTGCAGTCTTCAACATGGATTATATATCAACATCAAGAAAACAAAATAATCACCACTAGGCCAATTGGCAGTGTCATGATAGATGGAGAAAAGACTGAGAATGTTAACAATTTCACCTTGCTCAAATCCACAATCTACACCTTTGGCACCAGCAGTCAGGAAATCAAAAGATGAGTTGCATTGGGAAAATCTGCAGTCAAGGACCTCTCCAGAGCGCTAAAGAGCAATGATATCAGTCTAGAGACCAAAGTGCTTCTTATTCAGTCCATGATCTTCTCAATTGCTTGCTGTGCATTGGAGAGCTGGACAGGGTGACAAAAGAAGAATCAATGCCTTTGAGTTGTGGTGCTGGAGAAGAGTATTGAACATACACCTTGGACTGCTAAGAGAGCAAACAGGTCTGTCCTAGAAAGGGTTAAAACAAGTTGCTCCTTGGAGGCAGGGATCTTGAAGCTCCGTCTCACAGTCTTTGGGCATGTTGCCAGGAAGGCTCAGCTCTTGGAGAAGGACATTGTGCTTTTGTAAGGGTGGAGGGACGACACAGGAGAGGAAGATCCTGGATGAGATGGATGGACACAGTTACTGTGGCAATGGGTCCAGTTGTGTCAGAAATGGTGAAGCTGGCTCAGGACAGGACACGTTTCAGAGCCATTGTTCACAGGGTTACTATGAGTTATAGGCAACTTGAACAGCACATAACAACAACATACAATGACCAAGAAACAAAACAAGATTTAAAATCAGCAAAGTTGTGCGTTGAAGTTGTATCCTTTCTCCATAACTATTCAATGTATATGCTGAGCAAATAATTTGAGAAATTGGACAATATGAAGAATTTGGCATCACGACTGGAGGAAGATTCATCAACAACCTGCATTATGCAAATTACACAAACCTGCTTTCAGGAAAGGAGGAAGACTTGAAACACTTACCGAAGAAGGTAAAAAAAAAGCACAGCCTTCAATGTGGATTACATCTCAACATCAAGAAAACAGAAATTCTCACCACTGGACCAATAGGCAACATCATGATAGATAGAGAAAAAGATTGATGTAGTCAAGGATTTCATTTTATTGGGATCCACAAACAACATCTTGGTAGCAGCTGTCAATAAAACAAAAGATGTGTTGCATTGGGAAAATCTGCTGTCAAGAACGTCTTTAAAGTGTGAAAGAGCAATCATATCAGTTTAAAGAGTAAGGTGTGCCTGATCCAAGCCTTGTTCTTTTTCAATGACTTTGCATGCCTCTGAAAGTTGGACAATAAATAAGGAAGACCAAAGAAAAAACCATGCCTTTGAAATGTGGTGTTGGTGAAGAGTACTGAATAGAGCACAGGCTGCCAAAAGAACAAACAAGCACACCCATGTTTATCCCAGCTCTGTTCACAATAGCAAGGAGTTGGAAACAACCCAGGTGCCCATCAACAAACGAATGGATAGAGAAGCTGTGGTATATTCACACAATGGATTACTATGC